CTATAGAGTCCAGCCACCATTTGATAAATCTCCTCTATTATTTGGCATAGTGAGGGCTTTATTGAATCTTGATCTGCGTTGGCACCAAGGGTGACACCGTTGCTCCAATAGTCTTGCCTAAAGCCTCCCCAGCTTGGTCAACTTCAACATCAACCAATTGCTCCTCCTCCATAAAATCTTGTGGAAGATCATCCTCTTGCTGTATCTGTCGCGAAGCCATACCAAACACACGTATCCTACTGGGCGTGCCAATTTGTTTCAGGTGGAAAAACAGGTGGATGGGTTGCGACTGACTTCTATGAAGGTGACGATTGTTACTACGGTCCACACCTCTTCAAACACTGTTCGAACGAGAGTGTTTGGTGTATGGGGAATCTATGTTACCTTACACTACTCCTATGGAGATTCCTTGAGAGCTCCGCGACTACAACTAAGACTATTGCTATGGAGGATCCTTCGTGGAGGAGAGCTCCGCAAACTACAGAGAAAAACGGAAAAGGGAAAGTTGAGACAAGTTGTCTTTGTGTCGAGTTGTGATTGTCTGCCTGCTCCAGAAGGTTGCTCTCAGTTTTGTTGCGTAGAGTCCTCCAACTGCTCTCTCTCTCTCTCTCCTCCTCCCGAAAATAGCTCCGCTTAGCCTCTACGCAACTGAGTTGTTGCCAAGAAGTCTCTAGGCATATCACCACGTCATCCTAGTTCAACATGGATGGTACCATCCAGCTAGTACTTTGGATGGTATCCATGATATTGGATGGTCACCATCCCATTAGTCCCTTGGATGGTGTCCATGATATTTGGGATGGTACCATCCATAATAGGATTTGGATGGTATCCATGAGCTTGGACACTACCATCCATAATAGGATTTGGATGGTATCCATTATGATGGATGGATGGTAACAGTGACCATAGTTGGTACTGTCACCATGTTGGACAGATACCTTAGGGCAAACTACTTAAAGTGTCCCAATTATACATAAATACTACATGTGATAATTAATAAATTTATTTTGGTGTAAACAGAACCCCAAGTATATGGTCTAAAATTGCCTCCCCAATTAAGAAAACCCCCTGCCCAATATTTGAAAACCCTCGCCCAATATTTGGATTTTGGTCCAAAATTCCCTCCCAGCCTCCTTTTTTGTAACCAAAAATATATATAATATTAAAAAATACTTTTTTTAATCAAATGACGTTAGTTAAGGAAGGGAAAATATGTTAGTTTTTTTGTTCCCTTAATCCTTATCCTTTTTTTGTTGGTTTTGTAATCTTAATGGATACTCTGCAACGTACCAACAACTAGCAACATTCAACTTGTTTGTGATATATTGAAGCAAAATCTAGTCACTCATTTGTTTAATAATGGACCTTCATGTTTTTTTTTTTTTTGCAAAATGGGACTGGTGAGTTTGTTTTAAATTAGTGTAATAACTAATTATAAAAAAAACTCGATGGTTTGGTTTGGACCAAACCACGTGCAACCCGACGACCTGTTCGTATCGTAACACACAATCATATCAACCAGAACCCGATTGATCCGCAATCCGATCAATCCGTAACCTGATTTGCAACCCGAACTTGATTTGCCCCCAACCCGAACCCGCTTGACTCCCAACTCGATTACCACGACCCGAACCCACCCGACCCGAACCCACCCGATTGACTCCTATATCTCTAGGCTCTCTGTATTATTCTTCTGACAAAAGGGCATGCCAAACACTTCAATACTGATGGTTCCAAAATCGATCTGAGGCATGGGTGTTGTGTGGGAGGGTTTCAGCTTGCTTCACTAATAGACTGGAGTTTGATTCCCCTTAGTTTTAGATGGAAGGCTTTAAGTGTGAATTAAACTAAACTAGCAAAACTGCTAAATTGCAAGTGTGGTCACTTGAATTACTAGTAAAGTTCACGTTAGCCACTATAATTACTTTATTCCATCCGTAGTCACTTGAAATAGGTTAACAGTCCAAGTTTGGTCACTGACCGTTAGTCTCCGTTAAATTTTGTTGATGTGGCGGTCAAATCTCATAGTTAACTGTTAAATAGGTGACGTGGCAATTATAAAATAAATAAATAATAAAATTTATTCTATTAAAAATTCCACTTCATTATCATAATAATTAAAAAATAACTTTAATCCCACTGTTTGCAAAATCAAAGCAGATTCTTGAGCCTTAATGGGAAGCTTTAATTGGAGCAACCTCCCCCATGTCGAAGGCCTGGGCCGGAGGCCATTTGGACGAGCATAAATGAACCGCCGCCGATCCCGCTGGACGTCGAGTTGACGACTCCCAAACAGAAAGCTGTCGCCACCGCCGCGTCCACCGCGGCGCCCCCTCCCCGGAGAACGTTCCTCCCTATCCACGAACACCGCCCGCCATCCGTAGTCGCGGCGTGGTGGACATTAGACAATGATGGTGCACATAGTGATTGGTGTCCTCGAGGGTTAAAGCTTCCTCTTGGAAAACCACCACAAGAGCTGATCCCGCCTCCAATGCAAATCTACCCTCATATTTGCTCGGTTGCTCCCTCTCTACTCGCTTCTTTAATCAGGCAGAAGACTATTCTAATAGGGGAGTTACTTAGATGCATATTTGACATGGATGTAGACAATGATTGTGGCCTCTGTGCGTTAATGGCGCACATATTGATTGGTGTCCTCGCGGGTTAAAGCCTCCCAGAATCGACACTCAATTCACATATTCATCGCCGTTGTTTATGGCCTCTATCGTCGTGTACAAGAATTAGGAATGTTGTTTTCAATTTACATATATTGTTTTGCTGGAGGAGGTGGCAGAGGAAGGGAGGCGGAGAGGATTCAAAGCAACAGAGGGAGGTTGCTCTGATTTAAGCTTCATATTAAGGCTCAAGAATCTTGGCTTCAATTTTGTAAACAGTGGGATTAAGGTTATTTTTAACTATTATGATAATAAGGTGGAATTTTTTATTGATTAAATATTAAAATTTATTTATTTTTTAATTGTCACGTCACCTATTTAACGGTCAACTATGAGAGTTGACCGCCACATCAACAAAAGTTAACGGAGACTAACGGCCAGTGACCAAACTTGAACTGTTAACCTAATTTAAGTGACTATGGATGGAATAAAGTAATTCTAGTGGCTAACGTGAACTTTACTAGTAATTCAAGTGACCAAACTTGCAATTTAGCCCTAGAAAAACTTAGTCCGAGGGAGATTATTAGAGGTAGGTTGTTTGCTTAGGGAGTTAGGGTTGAATACCTCTAGTTATAAGTAGATATGAGTTGAATGCAAGTCAATGAATATTTCTTTATCTTCTAAATTACGAATAATCACTTAAACTATCACCTATCACCTATGACAATGTTTATATCTGTTGGAGGCATTTATAGTAGTTGGCTCAATGGTCATGTAACTAACAAATTTCTAGAGCACTATATCTAGCTAGATTCCTCTGGTTGGGTTTAATGCTATGCAAATTAAGCTACAACCCAGTGATCATGCGATTATAACTTCACCTTCTAGATGTGTGTTATACAATGTTGCCCCTAATTAGAGGGACACCATGGTTAGATTAAGAACATAACAATCCACCACCTTTACTAGGAGTGGAAATCAGTACGATATCGCTATCCCAATACCAAATACCAAAATCCCGAATACCGAATTACACCCTAAAATCAATCTCAATTCCAATCCTTAAATAATTTCGGTATCCCAATCCCAATCCCTAAATATTTCAGTATCCCAATAGACATTTCGGTATCCCAATCGGTATTATCAAATACGAAATTAATTATCTTGGAAATTAATAATTAAATATATATAAATTAGATTTGATTGCTTAATTTAGGGCAAAGAAACTAAGCGAAGAGTCTTGAGTAGGAGAATGGAGGAGAGGTGACATCTCAAATTCTTGTCAATGGTAATCTTTAATTTGACGAATTGGAGGCTGGGAGACGACTAACACTAGTGTTTGTCTTTTGGTGTTATGAAAATAACAAAAGATTAGGCGAGAGACGAGAGTAACTTAAACTAGAAAAAAACAAAGGTTGTATGCTATATTTCATTAAATTTTTTATTTTCAGTATTTTCCGGTATTTCGGTATATACATCTCCCAATCTCGTAATCCCAAATACCGAATAACACTCGCACTCCAAAATGAATCACAATCTCAATCCCTAAAATAAGCCGGTATTCGGTTGATAAATTTGGTATGGTATTTGATATATTCCAAATACCAGTACCATACTTCCAGCACTAACCTTTACTAAAGCCAGGGATTGGTGTGATCAAACATCATATAGATATAGGAATAAGTTCACAATCATCTTTACATACAAAACCCATAAACAATTATCTAGTTAGAGTTCATCTATCTAAGCAATAAGAGAGAGAAAAAGACTACAAATAAAAGGAAGAACATCAGTCCAAAGTTAGATCCATCTTCTCCTTCTTTAAAAGACTGTACAAATAAGCACTCATCTTATTTAAACCCTTTCCAAGTCCGTCACTCTCACTCTACATCTTTAAAACTCTCTTTTTTATATATCTCTCTAAAATGTCATCGCTTGTCTAAAATCATCTCCTTGTAATTAACTTAGACAAGAGGTAGTGAACTTCATATGGGAAGGGCAAGTTCATGACCTGTGACAAAAGTTCACGAAAGGTATCTTTGACATGAGGCTGTAAACTTCAAAGTTCATGGCCTAAGACAAAAGTTCACGAATGGGATCTTATGGTCGTTGCCTAAACTTTCAGCTCACCCTTCCTTTGCCAATTGCGAGGTTGACCGCACCTAAGCTGGTCCTGTCTCTCTCTCTCTCTACATCCTTCATACGACCTCCAAACGGGCTGAAACTTGGCACAAAACTCACTCCAAATGTCAAGACCTGAAATTAGAGAAGAAAATATGATATAGCTTACAAAAGGGCGAGAATCAGCTAGTTACGAGCCAAAGAATCAAATATTGATAAAAATCATGCTAAATGCTAGACTATTAACATATAGAACTCTTTGTCATCAACTTCAATTTCTTGAATAAAAAAATGCTCTTTAGGGAGCTCCTTTGGACTCTCTGGCGGGGCTTTTAGTTTTGTTGGAAGAGTACCATACTCCTAGCCGGAAAAATCATCGGCGACTGTGTGGAGGATTTCTTTCCCGGCTGGCATTCCTTGACGTGGTGGAGATGGGCAAAGGGCGTTATTTTGGTTTGGAATCCCGACTCTGACTTTCTGTCGTCGCCCATTGATGTGCTCCCTCAACAACCCCTGAGGAGTAATCGAAAACAAAAACGATCTGTCGGGGTGCAGATGTGGAGTTTTGATTCCGTTGAGGCTCTTTGTGAACATTTGGGGGTGGAAAAGAGCAGGGGTTTCTCGCTGAAAAGATGCAAAATAGAGAATGAGGTAGGCTAGTGATTCATCATACCCCTATCGAAGGAGATGAACATGGAGACCGCGGGTCAGGAGATAGACTTGACCGCTACATCTTGTTGGGAGTCAGACAGTAGACGTGCTACTAGAAAAACTCGCCCGTCGTTGCTAATCCGACCGAAATTGCCGGAGAGGAAGGCAGAGGATTGGGAATGGACTACTATCCTTTCCAGATTATATGGGCAGGCGAAAAGTTTTAATGATTGATGCTTCAAATCCCTAGGTGTGGGATTTCCCTAAAGGCGGTTCATCCGTCAGATCACCCCCAGCCAGATTCAAGGGCGCCAGAAACAGGGCAGACGACAGTCCGACCGAGAATTTTGACGAATCCTCTCGAGATGGGTGGTCGGCCAGCCGCCGCCTAGCATGGGGGACGACGTTGATGGAGGAATCCAGGATGAGGACGGAAGGGATACTCCATTTCTCTCTCCAATTGCACAAATCTGAGATCACAGGGGATACGTCCTTGTTTTTTCGGCGGCAACAGGGGAAGCCGCTCCCTGGGGATTTCCTTGATACGGGATTATCCGTTCCGGGTCGTGCCAGAATCCCTTGTTGTGGGACTCTATGATATATAAAACCTGATGCTCCCTCACAACTATTCTCATAGGATATCATCGCAGAGAATTGGGCGGAGCAGCTGAGCATTGGCCTTCCAAACTAAAAACAGGTAAGAGATGTATGCTATCTACATATCTTCAGTCGAATTTAACTAAGTCTAATAGGAGACCGATGCTGATAATGAGCGTCTTTGCTCCTAGTCGTGCAGGTAATCAGGGGTGGGTCTCAAATTACGTGGTGACTAGTGCGGGAGAGGCCGAGATCATCAGCAACGGTGTTTTACCCGGTAGCAGCAACAGATTAGGCCTGAATAAGTCAGTTTCTGATTATTTTACTGTATGCCCATATACTGCTGGCTTAACCTCGCCCTCCTCTACTGATCAGTATTCCTGGCGGTGCTTCTCAATAACAGGGGATTGGCGAGCAAATTTCTCAAAAGGACTACCGTTGATCAGAGGGCGCCGACCAATGTAGTCAAAAGCGCGATTCTACCTAAAAGCAGTTGGGTGACCTAGAAGCGTAAAACGGTAAGCTTTTAAGTTTTAAAACGTATATTTTGACTACATTTGTAAAGGAAAATAATGATTATACGTAGAAACGTTTTGGTGACCTAAAAAGGTAAAATCGTAAGCTTTTAAGTTTTAAAGCGGGATTTTGACTGCATTGGCGCCGACCAATAGGTAAAATATTAATCGAGCTCTGTGTTTGTCACTATCGGCGTTCCATCCTCGGAGTTTTATTTCCCTGGGAATACCCACGTTATTGCCTATGTCGGCGTTCCCTCCGGTGGCCGCTGTCCGTTCCAGTAGGGGGTCGTCGACGGTTGTGCATATGTCCGATGAGGCTGTAGTGGGTTTGTTAATTTTTAAGGAGCTCACTATTGTTTCTCGCAAAGGACTAATTGCGGATAAAGGGCTTATTGGGCTTTCGCGTATGGGTTGGGCTTGTCTATATGCTCGTATAATTGAGATGCATTTTTTGGTATATGCTCGTATAGTAATTAGTTATTTTTTTCTATTGATCTCGGTGTATTGATGAATGCCCAGGTTTCTAGCTTAATTACTAGAGAAATCCCAAAGAAAAGTATGGCTCACGTGGTGCAAAATCATATCGTCCAATTCAAGCTTGAAGAGGTTCAATCAACTCAATTTCGCACTTCCCACAGCCTCCTTGGTAGGATATTTGAGGATAGGCGACCATCGATGACTGCCATTCGTGAAGCAGTCAATGTGGCATGGCAAGGTCAAGGGCTAGTTCGTGTTGATGAGGGACATCAAGTATTTATTATGTTTGTTCTTCCCAGTGAAGCTTGTAAGAAGTGGGTATTGCAGAGAACTGTTTAGATCATCAAAGATAAGGTCCTCCATTTGAGGAGTTGGATTCAGAATGTCACTGCTCGCACATTTGATGACATGGTGACTGCTATATTCAAGATTCACCTCTGGGATATGAATGAAGACGGTTGTACCCCAATATTTGGGCGAACAATGATCCAGTCGGCAGTTGGGAGGGTCCTTGAAGTAGGGGTTTATGCATGTCGTGTTGAAAAACAAAATTTCATTAAGCTGAAAGCTATCATTGGTTTCACCAAACCTCTCCGCTCCTAGAGCATGGCTTTGAGTGATGAAATTGGGTGTTTCTAGGTTAGCTTGAAATAAGAGTTTCTACCTAGTTTTTTATTTAAATGTGGTTGTGTTGGACATCGCTTCCAAACATGTGAGTTTGATCCACCACAAGGGAATGAGCGCTTTGGGCCTCACATGTCGACTAAAGAGCACGGGGAGAAGCTCTATGGTGAAAAGGAAGACAACATATCACTCTATGGCGCTTCTAGTTCAGTCTGGATCAACCCGAAGGCTGTAGGAAGGAGGAATGCTGGACCTAGTAAGCAAAAGGAGAAGGTTGTGAAGCCTCATCTTATGAAACATGCAGGCGACTCGACCATGAGATATGAGAAGACAGGGGACTCCTTTTACCAGGGCAGGCACATGGAGGACAGTAGGAATGAAGGAAGAAGCCCACGTGGCTTCGTGATGGCTAAACCGCCTAAGATCCAAAGGGTGCAAAGGAGGACTGAAGAGAAGGATCAAATGGTTCAGCTGCCCAGGTAGACTAAAGGGGTGAACCAAAGGCGCCACTCTCCTCATTCACAGGGTAGAAGGGATGGAATGGTTTGTAGTGTTCGAATTTTTTGGTGGAGGCTTCGTTTTGTTGAATAGAGGTAGATCTAGTAGAGACAGAGAGCAAGAGAGAGAAGACGTGGACAGAGAAGAAATTGGAAAAGACTTGGCGTTTTTGTGAGACAGACGGGAGCAATTTTCCTCTTTCAATTATTGGTCTCCTCTCCTATATAATTATACAGGCGCAGTTTTCGGTGACTAAAAGACCGAACCGCAATTAGTCGGCCTCGGTTTCGGCTAACCGATATGAGGAACGGTGGCGGTGTCGGTCGCTGGTTTTGGTTCGTTTTCGACTGCGGTTAACCGACCTATCGGTTTGGTTTAACCGTAATCGAACCTACTAACACCCCTAGTTGTGGGTGTGTATATTAGTTGCAATGATGTTATTCATGTGGCGCAATTGAAGCATCTACCAAACCTCTGTGAAGAAATCCAATTACCCTATGTGGTGATAGGTGATTTCAATTCCATCCTTTCGGGAAATGAGAAAGACGGTGGGAATCCTTGGAACTCGGCTAGTTTCGCTGCACTTAGGAACTTTGTGATTGACCTGGGACTACACGATGTGGGTTTCCAAGGGGATCAGTTCACTTGGACCAATAGGCTGATGGGGCAGGCTTGTGTTTGGGTGATACTTGATTGAGCCTTATGTTCTCAGTCCTGGATGGAGCATTTCCCTGAGTCCTTGGTGAAGCATCACAATTATCAGGGGTCGGATCATAGAGATCTTTTTTTATCCACTAAACCTTTCACACGACATAGCTAACCTCTATTCCGGTTCGATGCATGCTGAGTGGAGAACCCGAAAGTCAGGGCAATGGTTGTATTTGTGTGGAACGAGACTATCCATGATCCCCAATGTATATATTATGGGCGTGCTTAAAATGGCTCTATGATCTTTTGTATGATTGGAGTCGGGCTGGCATGACAAATTCCCTCCGCAATATCAAGACTCTCCAGACGGAGATTGAGCAGATAGAGCACTCATTTCCTATTGATTGGGATAGGGTTAGGTACCTTGAAACGGAGCTTAGTCGCCAATGGGAGGCTGAGCAGGTCTACTGGCATAAGAAATCTTGGGTCCGGTGGCTAAAGAAAGATGATAGTAATACTTCCTATTCATACAGTCATAAGGGCAAGGAGAAAAAGTAACTTTGTGGCTGGGTTGCGGAATGGGGACGATTAATGGGTTACTGATGAGAAGGGAAAAGCAGATATCTCGGTTGATTTCTTCCAGCTTTTCTTCACCTTTGAGCACCATGTGGAGAATATGGAGGACCGAGTGGCAGAGTTGCTGATTGCTCGGGCGGTCATCAAGGAGATGAATGCGACTCTGACTGCTGAGGTATTAGCATCGAAAATCCGACAAACAGTCTTGTCGATTGGACCCACATAGGCTCCGGGATCAGATGGGTTCACTGGAAAATTCTTCCGCGCATTTTGGGATGTTGTTGGTGATTCTGTGGTTGAAGCTGTATGTTCCTTTTTCATACAGGATGGATGTTACGAAGCTTTAACCATACTTGGCTAACGCTTATTCCCAAAGTAGATAATGTGGAATATATGCACCAGTTGAGACCTATATGCTTATGTCAATTCGTGTACAAAATTATTGCCAAAATCATGTCTGAACGATTAGCTCAGTTCCTCCCCGCGATCATCTCGCCAGGGCAGAACGCGTTTATTCATGAAAGACAGACAGTGGATAATGTTCTCATTGGTCACGAATTGATGCACTACCTTAAAATTAAGACTAAGGGTAAGAAAGGATATATGGCTCTGAAGGTTGATCTGGAAAATGCCTATGATAGATTCGAATGGCCGTTCTTACTTGCGGTCTTAGGGAAAATGGAATTTAGTCCGATTTGGGTGCAGTGGATTGAGGAGTGCTTGCGCTCTTCCTCATTTTCGGTTCTTATGAATGGTACACCAGCTGGCTATTTCAATTAGACTAGGGGGCTTCGACAGGGTGACCCTTTGTCCCCTCCCCTTTTTGTTATTTACACTGAGAGTTTTGCGACCCTTTTATGCAAGGCCATCGATGAGAAAAAGCTAGGTGGTGTCCGGATTAGTCCTAGAGCTCCACGGTTTCAAATGTCTTCTTTGTGGATGATTTATACCTGTTCCTCAGAGGATCGATGCAAGAATGTGAGAACTTGTTGGTGGTTTTGAATGAATATGAGGAGCTTAGTGGGCAGAGAGTCAACTTGGCTAAATCTGCAGTTTGCTTTAGCAAGAATATTCTGTCGGTTGATTAGGAGTCCCTAGCTCTCTAGCTCGGTGTACGAGCGGTTGGCATCCATGATAAGTATTTGGGCTTACCCACCTTGATTGTTCAGTCCAAGATGGCTACTTTCTCTAGTATTTGGAGGAGAAGTGATTGGCACGGTTGCAGGGATGGAAGTAGAAGGTGCTATCTTGGGCGGCAAAGGAGACGTTTATTAAGTCAATTGCGTTCTCTTTGTCGTCGAATGTTATGTCCTACTTTAAACTTCCTCTGTCTCTTTTTCGAATTCTAGATAGGCATGTTGCTCGATTCTGGTGGGGGGGGGGGGTGGAAGGGGGTCGTCCGCGAGTTAGATGGATTTCTTGGTGGAACTTATGCACGAGTAAACATGATGGGGGGATGGGTTTCCGGCGATTTGAGCATTTTAATCAAGCCTTCATGGCTAAGATTGGACGGCGTATTCTCAATGAACCTGACTCTCTGATGGCCCAAATATATAAAAGAAAGTACTTTCCAAATGGGATATTTTTAACAAGGACTACTCGGTTACGCCCATCGGGGTCCTTCGGCGAGGACTTTGGTGGCAGGTTGAGAATGGGGTCCAAGCCTCTATTCAATATTCCAGCTGGGTTATGTCTTCTCATCCCTACCCTCCTATGTGTCAGCCTCATGTCATTCCGGAGGACACCGACCCGAATGTGACAGAGCTGATAAACCCTGTGGAGGGTGAATGGTGTCGACAAACGATCAGCAGCTATTTTCTCCTTATGTGGTTTGGGTCTTGGCAATTCCCTTGCCTCGAATGAGTATTGAGGATAGGTTGGTATGACATGATACGTGTGATGGCGTGTTTACTATCGAATCCGCTTATCACCTAGCGGTTCTAGTGGATAGATAGGTAGGGTTGTGCCACCACAGGGTGAGCTGGATGGATAGGACAAGTTGAATAAGAATGTGGGACCTCAAGATCCCACCTAAACTTAAGTTTTTCCTCTGGCAAATCTTTAACCGTATCATGCCTACCACGAAAGCCTTGAAACGGGTCCTGATTATGCCAAGATGTCTTGTATGCTGGGCAGAGTCTGAAACGACGGAGCACCTTTTTGGGAGTGTCTAGTCACTGCAGTTCTCTGGAATAATTCAGGTTTGGTCCATCTAGGGCAAGATTTGCCTAGAAAGACCTTACATTTGTTCCTTAAGAAGTGCTTGCTTAGGATGATCGAGCCTGATCAAGTTATGGCTTTGGTGGTGCTCCTATGGCGTATTTGGAAATCAAGGAATTGGGCGGCCTTTTAGGGTAAGCAGTTCTTGGTTTCCCAATTGATTCGTCAATACCATCAACATCTGCATGAGTGGGTGTCTTTACCGGAGGATAGAGTGGTCCTGGGGCGGGGTCCTTTGCAGCACAATCGGGAGGAGGTGGATTTGTCAACTGTCGTATGTATGTGGGATGGTGCAGTGAGTTCTGGCTCACATTCAGCGGGAGGGCTGAACGTGAAGGATGGAGGTGGGAACGTTGTGTTCGCGAAAGGTTTGCTCTTTGATGGCATTGTCGATCCTCTTGTGGTTGAGACTATTGTCCTCCGTGAAGCTATTCAATGGTGTCAGAAATCTTGGTATCCCTCAAGTACGGTTTGAAGGTGATGCGAAGGTACTCATTGATAAGATTAATGCCAAAGATGCGCGGGATAGTCGTGTTGGGGCTATTATCAATGAGATCCTCGGTCTCATGGGTCTGAATAGTGGGTTTCGTGTTCGGTTTGTAGGTCGGAATAGCAATAGGTTAACTTATTCAGTGGCTAGAAAGGCTATTTCTTTTTCTCCGGCTTTGTGTCGATTGTATGATTTTCGTGAATGTGTTGGGTCCAGGGTGTAATTTGTGATATCTTATCAATCAATATGATTATCTTTTGTTAAAAAAATGCAAGAATATTAATATTTAATCACATATAGTACGAAACCTATAATGACCAAAGTATGATAATTATGGCATCCCTATCCAAAACTCTGATTGTATATACACCTATTACTCACTATTATTCATACACCACTGTCATTTTAAACTGTAAAAAAAATTGTCTTCACTTCTTTAATGAAACCCACTAAAGGTTGTTGTTTTGATTTGGCACAAATTTGACCGACTATAAATTGTAATTTTTTTTGTTTTTATTTCTTTGAATATATTGATCTTCAACTCACTGTTTCAACAAATCTCTACGGAGTGTGTAACTATTACTAACACTATGTTCTCGAAGGAAGGGAGGAAAATGGAAGGGAAGAAACATTTGGAGGGGAGAGAAATAGAGGGAAAGGAAAATTGAATAGGAGGGAAAATATTGTTTTGTGGAGGAAAGTGGAAAGGGAAAAGTCTATTGGAAAGTGTGATAGATATGTCATTTTATTAGTTATGTAATAGTAAAATAATTTAATTATGTGTTGATATTATTTTCATTACTTATAAATAGTGAACCAAATTTTTCTTTCTTGCTAATTTGTTCACTATTAATCTAAGTTACTAGGTTTTTACTCTTTAAGAATTGAAAACTCACGTTTTTGCACTTCTAGATTACTAAAATGCATGGTCCATGAAACCGTACCGGAGACCGTATCGGGAAAGTCAGCGTTAGGGTATTTTATGGTAAAACCGTGGTTTAATCGTAGTTCAACCGTTATACCGGTAAATACCGCATATCGGTTTAGCCTCCGATACTGGTATTTCGTGGTTGAACCACCGGTACGGTACGGTTTAATGGACATTGCTAAAATGGTTCTACATAGAATCGCACTTTTCACTTACAAGTGTAGCCAAAATCTCTCTTTACAACTTAAAAGTTTACGATTTTACGCTTCGAGATCACCCAAGCACTTCTACGTAGAATCACATTTGACTGTATCGAACGGATCTATATTGTGATTCATGTCAACCCATTGTAATGGAACGGATGTATAATGGAACATATCTCATTCTTTGTAACTGGACTACCGATTGTATCACTGGCTGTAAAATACCACTTGTCAAAACAACATAACGACACTTATGTGTTGTACACGTATGCGATACGCTAGATTCAACGTATGAAAATAAAATTTAAAATTTAAATGATTATTTAATAATTAATATTTTATAGCAATATTTTTTGTTTAATATAAAAGAGATTGAGAAGTTACCATAATATAAAACAATATTAATCAGCCGCCCTAATACTCCACCCCGAAAGTCATTCTTATATCTATCTTACCTCTCTAGAAAAGGGAACAAGAAAAAGGAAAAGTAGCTCTAATATCGATCTCCTTTCCATTCCTTGCTCTCCTCTTCTATCTTCGTTCCCATTCTTGGAAAGCCAGACAATCGTAGAACACCAAATCAACTATCCTTTCTTCCCTCGACCTCGATCTGCTGGTTCGGGCTCAGAATCTTCAACGAGGATGACAAGAACAACGGCGTCCGGGCGACGTGACGAATGGTGAGTGGTTTTCAACCATTGCATGTTTTAAATTTGGGGTTCTAGGGTTATTTTCTGATAATTTCTTATTTTTTCTGGATTTTGATGGAGGGAAAAAGAGACAGAAGTGGGATCGCTCCCTCCCTCTCTCGATCGGATTGCGATCTTCGATCGCCTTTCTTGTTTCTGATTTATGATAGACTGGAGAGAAAACATGTCGCGACGGCCAAAACGATGGCGACCGGTGATGAGAAACCGAGCAGAAGATGGAGGATTTTTCGTTGTGGGAGAAATTAGTGGCGAGCTCAACAGAGAAGAAGAATTCTCTGTTTCTGGTTTGGGTTGTATTTGGGGAAGAAGAAGATAACAAGGAAAGAGGAGAGGGTTGGGAAACAAAAAAAAAAAGGAAAAGTGAAGAATTAGTTGTCCTAGCAAATAAAAAGAATGGAAGAGAAGGTTAATTGTGCACTTTCTCTCCGATTTGGTGGAGAGGGTTCAACAGTGGCATTCACCTTTCTTTTCCCTCTCCGTGTTACTATGCTTGCTTTCGTGAACGGAGGAAAGTTTATTGAAACTCCCACTTTCAGCCATAAAATTTCATTTCCCCCCTTTTCCGCTCTAAAAAAACAGAGTGTAAAAGATTCCCACCAAGAATTCAAATCATTATGCTTGTTTTTATTAAGATTTTGAGATAATTTTTGTACCTCTAGTATGTCGAGGAATACAATTATATATAACATTGGTGCTATAAGTTTTTGTTTTTATGATACAACTTGAAATTGTACCTTTAATAACTTGAAATTGTACCTTTAATATCATGGTACAACTTCAGATTGTACCTATATTCTTGTGTACAAATTTTTTTATTATACAATTTGAACTTGTACCTTTATTTGATGGTACAACTTCAAGTTGTGAAGTTGTACCATAACATTAGGGTACCAAATTCCTTTATGGTACAACCTGAACTTATTAATTTAACGTTAGGCTAAATGCCACATTTGGCCACTGGGATTACTAAATCGTGTTATGCTTAGTCACTAGAAAAAATTAATATCCATTTTGGTCGCTCTAATTACTAAAATAGGTTACATTTAGCCACTCTCTCGTTAGCCTCCGTCCAACTCCGGTCACTCAAATTACTTTTTTTAGGGTTAATACTTTATTTTGGCCCGAACTATGACCATATAATCAACTTTGGCACGTGGTTTCAGAAATTAACATCCTGGCTTCAACTATGCAGCATATAGACTAAATTGGCCAGACACATACTTTGACCGTCAATTTGGACGGTCAACACCATTGACCGTTAGTCAACACGCCATGTCATTGCCTAGTCAGCCTAAATATCATTACAAATTTGAAATTCAAATTATTTTTCTAACTCTTATTATTTATCATTTTGAAATTAACCAAAACTTAAAATTAAAAAAATATATAATAAATTTTAGGTTTTATCTTTTGGGACATTTGAAAATGTTAATTTTATAAATTAAAAAAAGTATCAAATTAAATTTTATAAATGTAGCAAATATAAAAAACATAAACCAAAAAATAAATTTTCTAATCCAAATTATTTTTTTAATTTTTATTATTTATCATTATCAAATTAAACAAAAAAATTATAAAAATATAAAATAATTTTATATTTCATTTTTCTGGTAATTTTAAAATTAAAAATTTTATAATATTAACAAAAAATTATCAAATTATCATAGATTTTTTAAATTACCCAAAAATAAAAAGTAAAAAATATTTTTTTTTAATGTACCATTTTCAAATGTCCCAAAAGATAAAACATACAATTTTTTTATATTTTAATTTTTGGTTAATTTCAAAATGATAAATAATAATTAGAAAAATAATTTGAATTTCAATTTTTTAATGATTTTTAGACTGACTAGGCTAGGATATGGCGGGTTGACTAACAGTTAATGGGGTTGACCGTCCAAATTGATGGTCAAAGTATGTGTCGGGCCAATTTAGTCTATATGCTGCATAGTTGAGGTCAGGATGTTAATTTCTGAAACCACGTGTCAAAGTTGATTATATGGTCATAGTTCGGGCCAAAATAAGGTACTAACCTTTTTTTTATGAATGTCACTCGAATTACTGAAACATGTCACATTTAGTCACTCTGCGTTAGCCTCTGTCCAACTAACGGGAGAGTGACTAAATATGACATGTTTCAGTAATTCGAGTGACCAAATTTTATATTAATTTTTTCTAGTATGAACATGACATGATTTAGTATATCAGTGACCAAATGCGACATTTACCTTTAACTTTATGGTATAACTTCAAGTTGTACATTAAAGCACCAATGCTTTATAGTATAATAGAAGTGCTACTAGTATGACCTATGTTGTTATTCCTAGGTTATTTCGCATGCAATATGTTTTCTTGACATTCACCATAAACAATAACAAAAAAATTTGAAATGTGAATGATGATATGCGTACGTGATTGGAAAAATGATGGTCGAAACAGCTAAATAATTATTCCTTCGTTCAATAATATTATCTATGAATAGTCGACTTTTTATTAATAACTCTTTCTTCTCCAAGGTGAAAACAACGAATTACGTAGGTTACACATGTAGGAGTAGGATCACACCACGGCGTATCTAATTTCTTTTTTCATTCTCCAGAGGAGTTGGGATCAAGTGGCCAGCCACCAACGAGTGCTGTACTCCGTTGCAGAAGCAAGATCCCTCAGAACAATGGCAATTTGGTGGTACGCAGAAGCTCTTGCACGGCAAAGTATCCTCATTTGCGCCTTCCACTCTGTTCTTCTCCCCACCTGCAAAAACCAAAGAAGACCTTTCTGAGATGCTTATATTCCAACTGCAAAAAAAAAAAAAAGAATCAACATAAGAAGAGAACAGTATGATACTTACCAACTGCAAAAACCAAGAGAAGAACAAGGAAAGCAAACTTGGCTGTTGTCTTCTCCATGTCTGTGGATATAACTATTTCTCTGTCTTCCTAGTCCTATTTTTTTTTTCTACGATTAGTTTTGTGGGTTATTGATGAATTAGTCGTGGTGCCATACGTCAATTTATATTAGTTGGAGGTGGGTGGTTTAAAATGATAAGTTCTATATTGATGGTAAGAAATCAGGTAAATTATTTATTTGATTAATGAGCAGAGATAATTATTTGTGGTTTTATCAAGTTCGTGAACATTTTCTTCGTTTCAAATTTTGTTGCCATAATTTTTTTCATGAATGTTGCCATAAAATTTTCATATTTAAGAGAATGATATCTTGAGATATTCTTTTTACCAAAATATGAATTATTTCAATTTGGGTCTATCAAGTTCATGAATATTTTCTTCATCTCAAATTTGTTTACCATAATTTATTTTTTAGGAATGTTTCCATAAAGTTTTCTTCGTGTTCAAGGGAATAATATCCAGAGATATTACTTTTACCAAAATATGAATTATTTCAAACAATTCTCCTTTTTAGTTTTTAGCTATCCAATTTGTATTTGTAAAATTATCCATATAATTTTATTTCAATTAATTTCTTCGCTTGTAAACTTTCAGAGAATATAAATTATGTGCAAGGCGGAGGTAGCTAGTAGTTAGGGTGTTCCATGGCACACCTTTGGATTGGGGCTAGAACATATTTGTGGTTCTATCAAGTTCGTGAACATTTTCTTCGTTTCAAATTTTGTTGCCATAATTTTTTTAATGAACGTTGCCATAAAATTTTCATATTTAAGAGAATGATATCTTGAGATATTCTTTTTACCAAAATATGAATTATTTCAGTTTGGGTCTATCAAGTTCATGAATATTTTCTTCATCTCAAATTTTTTTACCATAATTTATTTTTTCGGAATGTTGCCATAAAGTTTTCTTCGTGTTTAAGGGAATAATATCCAGAGATATTCCTTTTACCAAAATAAGAATTGTTTCAAACAATTCTCCTTTTTAGTTTTTAGCTATCCAATTTGTAAAATTATCCATATAATTTTATTTCAATTAATTTCTTCGCTTGTAAACTTTCAGAGAATATAAATTATGTGCAGGGCGGAGGTAGCTAGTAGTTAGGGTGTTCCATGGCACACCTTTGGATTGGGACTAGAACATATAAAATAGAGGTACTAATTTATGTTATATTTTGGATTTGAACATGGAACCCCCTTGTTATTAGTTTTGGTATCTTCCATTAAACCATAATTACTTACATGATACAGTAATACATTTTATTGTGTATATATATAATTAATTTACCGTGTTCCAAGGTTGTCAACCCCCGGGTCGACCCAATTTGACCCTGACCCGCTGAGAAAAACGGGCCGCACGCACCCGCCGTGTCGACCGCTACAAGGTATCGGGTTGGAGGTCAAATTGTGTCATTTTTTTCTTTGGATTGCGAAATGCGCCTATTTTTCTTTTCGCCTAACTAAATTTTTGGAATCCTTAGTTGAACATTTGAATATTAATGTTATATAAGTGTGTGTGAATTTTCACAACATGTTGGATCTAAGTACGACATTTTACTTTAGTGTAATGTTATATGTTATTACTCATATGTTAGATGAGATTTGATATAATTTATCAGGATAAGTACAATATAATGACTATTTTCATGTTTCCGGGCTAAAACGGGTGACCCGTTAACCCTAACCCACCAGCTCGACCGGGTTGACAACCTTGTCGTGTACAAATAATAAATTAAAATTAAAAACTCATAATTGTATCCTTATTCAAGCAGTAATAGAAACAATTATATCCATGAGATGAAGAGAGATAAGAGGTTCACTGGAGTAAAGGGGATTGCTGAGCTTTCTAGTAAAATGGTTTCAACAAAGCGGCATATGGGATTTCCATCTGCGTATCTTCTTGTGAAGTTAGCAATGCTATTACCAATAGCCACTGCAAGTGTTGAAAAAGTATTTTTGGCAATTAACTACGTGAAGAACACTCTTCGGAATCGAATGAGTGATGATATCATGAATGATTTTTTGGTAGGATACATTAAGAGTGACATTCTTGATAATCTGGATGATGAATGTATTTTACAGAATTTTCAAGCTATGAGAACCCGTCGTGGGTCACTATAAAAATTGATAGTCATTTTAATTTTTTAAGTTGGCACCGCCTTACCAGAAATCCTGGCTACGCCACTGATTATGTGTGTATGATATGATTAGTTGATTACCCATTTAATGAGCATAGTTAGTAAATATGGTTATCGGTAATTTATAATATCATTGCGTATGGGGTGTCTATCTACACTATTTTGAACTAACAATATATTTAAAAGTCTGAAATTAGTCATAAAAATTCATAATTTATTAATGGGCTAATTCCACTGGGAAGCTTGATTCGGGTCCGAAGGTACATATTTTAACCTTCATTTCTTGTTCGTTATGCTTAGTTGATCACCATCCCTTGACCTATTTTACGCAAGGTTGTGCTTGTTTTAGTACATTCAGGTCCTGGCACGTGTGGGAAGATCCGGGACGAGTTTCAGGTCATTCAGAGCTCAAAACGAGCCAAAAAGTGGAGGTTGAGCCCTGTTCACAGACTGGAGCTTCACTGTGAACTGAAAGCCCAGACCGTGAAGTGACCAATTTCAAGAACGGTTTTGGAAGTTACTAGCATCAAGTCAGTTCACGGTCTCTAAGATCGTGAACTGGAAGCCTAGACCATGAAGTCGTCAGTTCACTGTCTAAGACCGTGAACTGATCAACGCGGCTGTGAACTGAAGTCTAAGACCGTGAACTGAGCCCGATCTGGGTATAAAAAGGGCTTTGAGCTGAAGGAAGAGGGGGGGGGGGTTGGTTTTTGGAGAGGGATTCAATTCTCTCTTTAGGGTTTCAACCCAAAACACCACAGGGGAGTTCTAGTGAGAGACAGAGAGTGCTTGAGTGATCTTGGAACTTAATTGGAGGCTTGGGTTGATCTTGAAGACAAGGATTCAAGGCTAGAAGAACAAAAGGAAGAAGAAGATCTTGGGCTCCAATTTGTAATTTCTCTCTTCTCTCTCTAGAAACTCACCATATTCTCTTGGTTTAAGAACCCTAGGTCTAGATTTGGGTTCAATCTTGATGTATGTGACACATTCCATGTTTGATTGATGATTTTACTTAATTGATGGATGTTTTCATGAATGACATGTGTCGCGACCGTCCTTCTGGGGTTCCGTCGTCGTCGCGTTCGCTTGTTTGGAGTCGCAATCGATCTTACTTGGAGTGGATCGAACACTCTTCGAATCGGCTCTAACCTTCGAGTTCGGGAGTACGGTTACGTGTGGGGAAGTAAAATCACACCCCACAACGCCCTAAATCGGTACTACTTAAGTTGATAAGTTTTTGTATTAGTTGGGTGTACTTTAGTAATTATATATTTTTGTAATTTTAGGGTCCCACTGGACCATTAAATAATTTAAATCGTATTAGTTGTAATTTAATTATACGCCCACTGACGTAAAATTTAAAGATAAAGTGAGTTGATTAGTTGGCTCGAACCTTATAGGTTGCCTACGTAGTTCGTTATATCTTTGATAGTTTAATTATATGACTTTTACCACGTTCCACTGAACGTAAATTTCGTATTATAATTTTGTTAATAAAACTTCATTTAGATTATTATGAGATTATGACAACAAATGCAAGAATTTTAATCATTAAGAAGAAAATCGATGTATCAGACAAGAAACAAAACTAACTTAATTCGCATTTCCCATTTCGTATTAAGGGCTTTAAACAAATAAAATTAAGCGGGATGGTTAAATTAATGCATGATGGGCCAGCAGTTGATTCCGCATGATGTGGGTTCGAAAACCCAGCCATGCCCTTTTTTTGATCCGTCATTTTTAATTCAGAGATGGGGAATGACATTTTGGTGATTTCACGGAAAAGCGGTTTCCGAGATGGGTAGTAATTAGGAAACCCTAGGGGCATTTTAGTCTTTATAATTGATGAGGTATATAAACCTCTAACAAAAACCCTAGAAGGTCGGCCGCCTCACTCTCACTCTCGCCTCTTCTCCTCTCTTCTTCAGAGAAACAAAACCCTAGCCTCTCTAACCAGCCGTCGCCCTCTTCTCTCAACCCTTCGTCGCCCTCTCGATCCTTCTCCTCTTATCTTCCAGAGAAGAACAAAAATCGAAACCCTACCGCCTAAGTAGGGCCGCCGCTCACTCGCCTCTCTCACTTCTCTCTCTTCTTCTTCCTCTTGCTTCCTCCTCTCTAAATCGAGAAAGGGAAGAAGACGAGCCACTATTCAATTTACCCCTCTCTCTCCCTATTTGTGGAAACGGCGAGGAGAAAGAAGAAGGACGTCATCGACGAAGGGATCTTAAAGGTTCGTTTTTATTTTTGCATTTCCATTTTTAGGGTTTTATTTTATATTTTCTGTTTGGGTTCGTTTGTTGACCTTCTCGTTTTGATTTTTTTCTTTGGGGTTCGACGAGGGGAGGAAGAGAGAAGGTGGAAGGCGGTGACTGTGAGACGATGGTGGTTGGCGACGATGGTGACATGCACCGCCAGCGACGATAGGAATAAGGTTCGTTTTCTTCTTTTTTTTGTACGATTTCTATTGCTTTCATACTCGATTTTCTAGGGTTTCATAGATCTGATTCCTGTTTTTTTGTTTATTTATGGAAAACTAAACCGAGGCCGAGATGGGACCCTCGATCCATCTTTCCCTTCTTCGATCTACTATCTTTCGTAGAAACGACGAGGATAACGAAGAGATCTGGTTAAGATATTTTTTGCAAGTGGGATTTTGTTTGATTTTAGATTCAAGATTAGGATTCTGATATTTTATTTTGGTTTTTATTTGTTCGAGGGCTTTGGTCGAGGAGAAGGTTGCATCGGGCGGCGAGGTACCGTCGGCGACAGGCCGACGACGATACAAGTAGGGTTTTTGTTTTGTTATATATATATTTATGTATGTATGGGCAGTTCTAGGGTGCCCGGGGAAAAATCCGGGGTACGGGTAACCGGGGGCAAGGAAAATTACCAAAAGCATCACGAAGCGTTTAAGCGTTTTTCATTGGACTTCAACCTAACTGTACCCGGTTTAATTATATCGATTAAGAGGTTAAACCCTAT